ATGATTGTCTATACAATCATTCCTGAGTGTAAAACCTTTTAAGTACTTTATAATTCATAACCTCGTAAGATATTTATAATATCATATAATAATTCACGTAAAGTTATACACGTCAATTTATTGAAATTACAACAATCCACCATTTGTGTTTTTTTTTTGTGTTAGTGATGTTATCTCATCCATACTTTGTTCGAACTAATTAAACGAGGATGGTTCGTAATAGTAATGTAAAATGTCCCTTCTCCTACACTTACTTATATGAAAGCCATAAAACAAAGACGAAAAAGTGCCTTCGATGACATCCTTAGGGGAGGCCAAGGATACATCTAAAGTGCCTTAGATGAGTTAATAGTACGAAAATGTTTCAATGCGTCCAGTAGTTAAGAAAGCTATTTAATTAGTTACGACTCGTAAAAGTGCTTCAATGCACCATGTAGAGCTTTCAAGACTTGATGATATAAGGCTACAAACGAGGCGAGTTAAGTCGAGTTTTGGCCTAATAAAATAGAGTCTTGACTTAATTTTATCGAATTTGAACTCGAACTCGAGCTCGACGAGCTTACAATTTTGTAGTTCTAGCTCGAAAAAATAAAAATAATTATTTTTATTTTTTAAAAAATAAATAAAATAATATTTTTTTAATAAATAATAAAATATTAAGAATATTTATGTAATTTTACTATTAAAATAAAAAATAAAAAATAAATAAATGTATATACTCTAGCTCGCGAGCCTGACGAGCTTAATATTTTGAGATCGAATTCGAGTTCGAGTTCGATTTTGACTCGATCAGCTCGAGTGGCTCGATTCATTTGCAGCCCTGTAAGCAACTAGTTGTTTAGTAAAACATTACCAATTCTATATTCCACGGTGCCCCAAATGTGAACTTCAGAAGATTTTAAAACAAGTTCTGAATTGTCAAACCTCTGCTGTGATGACTCTTGGTTTTGAGGATTATACACAAGAAAGGGCATGTGAACAAGTTCAAATTCTTGAATCTTGACGGAAGAAGGGAATTCAAATCGAAGTTTGTAAGATTATTAAAGGTTTCTTAGAAGACGACATTTACCCCAAAGCTGGGTCCCCCCCCCTCCCGCTCCCCACCCCCACCACCACAACAACAACAAAAGTTTTTACTTGAGATTTTCCTTTTTAATTAAGAAAATGGGTTGTGAACTGGTAATATATTGATTGGTATCTAACAATACTGAGGATATCACGGTAACCTTGTTTTTTTATTTTAAATTATTTTTTCAGTTAGGACGTTATGATAATATAATTAGAGACTTATAGTTAGGGTAAATTCAAAACTATATTAGTGTGCTTTTTGGAGATTACATTATTATGTTGAACTTATCTAATAAAATTAACATTTTTAGCGCTTTATTTTAATTGATTACAGATAAGAGTTGAACTGTGGAGTGTATATTATTCTGGTAACTATAGTCAGCAATCGAAATCTAGAACCATGAAAACCCATCAACGAATTTTACTAATTAATGTATCAAAAACAAAAGCAAAAGGAGGGAAGGGGCTGAAATAAATAATGAAAAATTGGTTGATAAATGACCGGCCGATACATGCAAAAGAGAAAAAGTGCTTCATTGACAATTCCAATTGAAAAGTTGAGGAGCTCCGGTGGTCGCAATTCTTTTGTGCTTGTGGAAACTTTGCTGCTTTCACTAGAGGCATCATGCATGAAGTAGGAAACAGAGAGTTATGACCGTAAACCTTTTTTATGATGAGTTTATGCTACGCAGAGCTTTTTTTTTTTCTTCCTCTTTTCTTGGTCCATGAAGAAAACTTTTGAAGTACTTTTCAACTGGTACTCAACGAGTATCAATTAAAAGGGGCCTTTTTTTTTTTTTTTTTGGTTTTTCAAGCATTGAAGTTAAATTAAAAATTTTCAAATGCGAGGAAAAATAATAAATGTAAGTGTATAATGAAATGATAAATTAGTGCTAACCAATTTTTATTGTAGTACACCAATTAGAATATCCTTCTATGAATTGGTAAAATAAGTAAGTAACTATAGGGAAAGCCATGGGGAAGCTGCATGCGTCTCTCACTTTTTTCTTATCTGTAACTAGAAGAGCTGAAAGTGTCAAGGCTTTTGAAGCCCAGGCCACAGAGATAAACTCAAAAACCATCCAAAAAACAAGAGGGACAATAAGTGTAAATGTTTATATTTACACTTTACAAAAAAATAAATACTACTGATGTCTTGTTATACCATTTATAAAAAATCCATCGTTAACACTCATTCGCAACCATATTGTATACTCATCATTTCAGGTGGGAAGCTCCTCAACTTCGTTGACTGTCTGGCTGAAAACATGTTGAAACTTTCAACATTTGTCGGCCAATTACGCAAAGGTTTCATTTACAAACTTGGCAATGCTTTGAAATGGTAATTATCACTTATGCAACTAAGATTTATTAGTCCAAAACATGCGCAAGTTAGTTGATTTTTAGGGTGTATATGTATCAGTATAAGCGAGAGAAGTCGAATTTGATATTTTTTACCTACATTCTTTCCTTTCAAATCATTCAATCCATTTCTTCCCTATTTTTAAGGTACTGTTTAGACAAGATGACAAAAAAATATTCAAAAAAACAACTTAGCACCCCGTCGTATCTTGAGAAAACAACAGTCAAAATCGACTTGTTTGAAGGGTCTAGGGAATAATTCGTCTGAGCACCCCGAAGAGAAAATTAAGTTTCGTCCTTTTATGTCTCTTGTCAAAATCACTCGGTTATAACATGAATTTCAACGTCCTTTCCGTGGAACTTCCCACTAAAAATATATGTCAAAACTCCAAATCAACGTTAAACGTTCGAACTGGTAGTAAACTCGAAAATTCTTAACACAACACATAAACTATACCAATGTTGTTCTTTAGTAGAACGTGGTTAATGATCAACAGGCCGTTTTGAGAACCCTATATAAACTGCAAAAGCCAAAACGAATTTCATTACACACTCAAACAGCCAAAAGAAAAAGAAACACATTCTATTTTTTTTTTATTGCAATACTCAAAAACCCAAAAAAAAGAAGAAGAAGAAGAAGAGGGTTTTGAAATCTTCATAAAAAACCATGCAGCGTTCAGTGGCCAAGAACATACTCCAACGCCATGTTCTCAGCTACCAAAATCCGACCCGTCTGATTAACAAAATTCCTCAGCCACCATGCGATGTCTTCATTAACCACAGGGGCGTTGATACTAAGAAAACCATAGCTTCCTTGCTATATGATCATCTTGTTCGGCTGAGACGTCGTCCATTTTTGGACAACAAGAATATGAAGCCGGGCGACAAGTTATTCGAGAAAATCGATACTGCGATAAAGGGGTGCAAGATTGGAGTTGCAGTGTTTTCTCCTACATATTGTCAGTCGTATTTCTGCTTGCATGAGCTGGCCCTGATCATGGAGACTAAGAAAAAGGTGATCCCTATCTTCTGTGATGTTAAGCCATCACAGCTTCGTGTTGTGAACGATGGAAGGGTTCCCCCGGAGCAGATTGAGAGGTTTAACATGGCCCTAGAGGAAGCCAAATTCACCGTAGGCCTTGCATTTGACTCCACCAAAGGGTAAGAAATAAATCTTCATTCTTGTTTTTACTTTCTTACGTAAAAAAGAACGATAATTAATTAGTTATCGCAGATGAAAATATGCATTATGGACTTGCTATATATGCTCATTGTTTAGATACGATTGATTCTGAACCAAATGGATATGCAGTTCAATTTCAAGACATAATTTACTTATACTATTAATTATGCAGACTCAATTGTGAAGGAGGAGTTCAGATTTTTAGAGATCTTGGGTTCAAATCCTCAATTTTCATTCCCGTTTCTTAAATTTAAAAAAAAAAACATAAATGAAAGAAAACAAAAAGATAAAGAGATTGATAGCACGATTGATTTCAAAAGTTCAAACACTTGCGTTCTTGGGAAATTTATGATATGTATGTGTTGTATGTTTCCTTAATATTGAAATTAAACTTTATTAATTAATTGTTGAATTTCTTTATTGATTAATAATGTCTGTGTGGAAATTAACAGGAACTGGTCCGAAGTGCTAACGGACGCAGCAGAGATAGTAATGGAGAGCTTGGCTGAGGTCGAGAATGAAGAGAGAATGATGCACATGAGAATGCTAAAGTCCCCTTCCGATGTGCCCAAGATTTGCTCCACCAACACTGGCAACTGATCTTAAAACCAAGATTTTGACCAAAATAATACATCTGCTGAGTTTTCTGAACGAAGCCAATAATTAACTAATAATCTCCCTATATTCATTCAATTCAATTCAAATTCTTTCAGTCTTGCACGGTCTCATTCGTAAATAAGGTGACATCCCTACATATACATGTCGTTTGTCCCCTTTGACTATATCTTTTACCAATTCTTTGAAGCGAAAATTCGTTGTAATTGTTCTCCTACTTAAATTTTCTTTGTTGGTTCTCCAAATTAATGCTGCTTGTATCACTGTAACTGAGACTCGAATGAGCGTTGTACTTTTTCCTGGAAAGCATAAAATAAAATAAAATAAAGCACTGTATTCACTGAAGTCATTTATTAATTGACTTTTTTTTATTATAATGAACATAAACTTCTGCTTCTTATTATTAATATTATTTTCCAACAGAAGGTGATATCCCAGTTTAGGCAGACTAATCCACCTCTTGACCTGCAAAGTTTTGTCCAGGGATACGAGCGCCATACCATAGGATTCGAACTGGCGACCTAGGGATACTACCGCATTCCTCGTTGGGGGCTCTTGCTAATTATTAATAGACTAGGAGAGGTAAACCGCGCTTCGCGCGGTGGAATATAAAACGTGAATGCCCATGAAAGATTAAAATTGTGTAAATAATAGTTGGCTTTAGTGATAAGTAATATTAGATCAGAAGTAATAGTGGAGGTATATGTATTGGTTAACAATCGAAAACTGTTGAACAAATGGAACAAGCTAATCTGGTAATGGATGCGATATACTAATTTGGTAATCAAAGCTACTAATATATTAAAGGTGAAATGTATGATGCCATGGATACATGATTTCTATGCTGTTGATTCCGAAAATTAAAACAGCAAGGGATGTACGGGACTGGGGTATGAATACAAGTATTTCTCCTTGTTGAAGACCATGGAGACATTTGTATTTCCGAAGAGCATTTTGAATTTGCAGAAGCCAGCAGCATCGATGCAAGAAACGTAATGGTTAAACGAAGGCGCCAGTATAAAGACCAATACGAACGCGCAATGTTGACTAAACTCCCTTGTTTCTCAGCAAGGCGGATACCATCGATAATTGATGCATGGTTGAGTGCATCAGAAAAAATGGCAACTCTTTCATCCCTTTTAGGTTTTCCCCCTTCAGCTAACAGCAAACCAACACTTCCAACTGCTGTGATAAGTGCCATGTTGGCTGCAAAGCCTGCGGGACAGAGAAGGCAATCCTAATATGTGATATTAGAGCAAGAATTCATTAGTCTAAATCCAGCAGCATCAACCCTTCATTACGATCAAAAGCATAGCAGGTAAAGTTTGACCATCTATTGACCATAGTACATGAAATAGGAAGTTACATCCAATTTGTTTATACGTAACATATGTTGCCTTCTAAAGAAATGAAATCTATAATGAATATATTGCTGCAATAGACATGGGAGGCAAGAACCAATTCATTGGGTTTAAGCTTCATTGCAACCAAGACCTAGTTGAATCACACCTAACTAAAAATTTTGTCATATGGATTGTCATAACCACTTTTCTTATCACTTGATTGTTTAGAGTTCTGAAATAAAAATGTTATCAATAAAACCTTTTTAAAAATCTGCATTTACTGGGTACTGAATGAAAATTTTGAAACTACCTCTTTCTTCTTTAAGTCTGCCAATGCCGACTCCAGCAACCTGTGGTTATTTGTGTAACTACAAATTAATGCAGAACCTCTAGGTCCCATCCCATGCAACTGAGCTGCCTAATTTGTCAGGGGAAACCACAACACAACACAAGTTATTAACCAAAATTCTCCATTTGATATCAGGAGAATCCATAACTCAACAACATATTGATTAAAAAAAAATTACCTTTACTGCGGCCTTGATAACAGTTGGGTGGGAACTCAAGCCTAGGTAATCATTCCCAGAGAAAATTAATAACTTCTTGAACTTTCCACCACATGGCCCTGCTCCATCATCATCCTCACCATTCCCAATTACAGTGTCATCCCCTGTTTTATCAATTCAATAAAGCATAAAATACCAAAACAATGCACATGCAATCCGTGACAAGTTTTCTACATGCTTTTCTTTTCTTCATCCTTAAAAAATATAATCACAGCAAGAAACACGCATAAAAAAAAGAGCTTCTTCTCAAACAAAATTAATCACTCCACAAGTTTTCAGTAGGTAAATGGGATGGAGGGAAACAAATGTAGTACCGGAATTGGGAATGTCTTAAACATCCAAGGCGCAAATCCCGTGTGAAAAAAGCCACAACTGGGCATTGCTGACACAGAGGCATTGCTGACAAAGGTCCTTAAACAATTGGTTATTGGAACTAAACTGTGAATGTGGGAGGATAAAGGCTCCTCATTATTTACAAGCAACTGAATTACAGATCAAGTTAAAAAGTAACCTAACAGACAAAATACAGTCCATACATAACATCAGACTCAAAGGCTCAAAAGATCAAGAAGGCCAATAGCCAAGAGCAACATGGCAATCGGAAAAGCAGCCTTGATCCTAACACAAATAGCAAGTAACAACTGTGAACTTGGCGATGGCCGTTGACCTAATCACATATGAGGAATGCTTTATATAACACAACAGGTTCTTCCGTTCTAGGCGACGGCAAACTTGTCTATACAGGCCAAAAAACTGCACAGATAAAAAATGGGGATAAGAAAATAGCTGATAGCAAGGCACAACTACAGTGAACAAAGCTCCGAGCAGTGGAAAGGAAAACACAACCTCGTCATCAACTGTCTAGTACAATTGAAATGCACTAAGTCCAATTATCTTTTCAGCTTCAGCACCCAGAGTGACAACACTTACATAGCCAGTATCGTCATGAATAAAAAATTCTAATCCATACCCTACGCAAGCGAAAGGAAATAACCAGCAGGAGAAAACAAAGCCATTTGAAAAAAAGACTAATTGGAACCAAAGCAACTAACTAATACCAAACATGGAATGAACCTTGGAAAAATATACATTCCCAGGCCGCAAGAAAGACACCTAATCCCTAAGGTAGTGGAAAAATCATATGAATGATAACAGTGGGGGCAGGCGAGATGCCAAAAGCGAGTCATTGGACACGCAATTTCAACACGGCCCTTAATCCAAACGGTTGCTCGATCCTCAAAACAACATAGAGTAGCAACTACTCAGCAAAACAACTACAGAAAAGGGGAAAAACAACAGCAAAGGAAAAAGCTGCGGTATAAAAATAGAAAGTCACTAACAAAGCGAGTGAAGGATGCAACGCTGGAGATTGCAGTAAGAGTTGGAGCACGAACATGAGGTAAAAGAATAGCCGGATCAACGTATGATTTATTGTCAAAAATCATATGGACTAATTCCAAGACATTTCTTTCACACCTACAAGAAACAACAAAGAAAAGTAAGCCCATAACAGAATAAAAAAGGCCACACACTGATGAACAGCAATTCAAAAGTATAAAAACCAACCAGCAGTCAAGCTCGCGTGCCTCCAAAACATCAAGAGCAACAAGTATAACAGAAGATGGCTGGGTCGACAATGATATATCTAGTACAACAAAACAAGCGAGGCAACTAAAAATAAACCAACCAGGCATCAAGGAAACAAAACATAATGCACAAGAAAAAAGAGCGACATACAATTTTCCATTAAGACCCTAACTCTCATAGCGATAATAATAGGCATGGTAGGCATGGTAGGCATTGCTTCATCAATAACACAGCCCTCGACAGATTCAAAATCCTGCCACAAAGTCAAAAGAATTGGACGTTTACTGCAGCAAGGTCACAAATCAAAGGATTATCTAACACAGGGAAAAAGGGCTCAAACGAAGGACAAAAGTAAGGTAAACCACAATGAAACGGTAACATGTGGTCAACTATGACATAGTCTCTCCCATGGCGCATAGTCCCTTCCATATAAACATCTCGTGCAGGGAAAGCATGAACAACGATCCCCATTACATCTGCGGTTAAACAACACATGCAGACAATTAGGCAGCAATGCAAGGAAAGGCAAAACAGAAAACATAGAAAAAACTTGCTTCCCTTTTGCAGTTTTCACAAATGAGAGACATTATTATGGTTTATGCTGTGATCCAGCATCGTTGGGGAGGTGTGACTGGTTAAGGCACAGACTTTGACAAATCCGCAGCTCTGTTCATTCTCTAAGAAGACAATTCTTATGATGGAATAATGTTTTTGGAACTTATAGTGATAGTATTATAGTGATTGTTTTGAAAAAAGAAAGAAAAAGGAAAAACCCAGGGGAAAAGAGAACGTGAAATAAATAAACAAAGAACGAGGGGAAAAACGGGGAAACAGTGAAGAGAACAGGCTGACATAACAAAAAAATCAAAGACTCAAAAGGGAAAAAAGGAAGGGAACAATATAAAAACCAGAATCAGCAATAAAACATAAAAAAAGAAGAATGCAATAAAATCAGTATCTCTGCCGTCACAGATGAAAATGAAAAGGAAGAAACGAACCCAAAAAAAGGGGGAAAGCACCCGAAGAACGGCAAGGGCAGAAACGACGAAGGGTGGCCTGAAGTTTTCCTGAGGCCACCTGTGGGAAAAAAGAAGGTGGAAAAGTTTCCCCGAGGCCAGCTCAAAAAACAACGACAAATCGAGCAGGGAAAAAAGCAATGACGAAGAGAAAAGCAACCCAGCAGCGACAAATCGAGCAGGGAAAAAAGCAGGAACAGTTGACCTAAAAACGCAGATGGAAGAAGGCGGAAAAATACGCGGAAAAACAGAAACTGGTAAAGCATAGGGGAAAAAAAGAGACCACAAAAGACGTAAAAAAAATAATAATAACAGGTCACCTGAAGATGAAGATTGGCGCGGCTGAGCAAGAAGAAACTCCGTTAAGGATAGCGGTCTGGGAAAGTATTCCGATGAAGTTTTTTGAGAGACGCCAGCTGAAAATGAAAACAAAAGGCAGCTGAAGAAGAAACAGTAGCGAGATATCCAGCAAGCAAAAGAGAGCGAAACGGGCAAACCGAGAAAACAGTAAACCATAGGGTAATGAGCGGCAGAAACAAAACTTCATTAAGGAAATGAAGCTGGAAAAGTTTTTCGCAGGCCATTGAGATGCGAAGATGATACACAAGAGAGGAAAAAGAGGACAGAAAAATGACAGACGAAAAAGTGATCCAGCTAACGAAGTAGGCCGCGTGGCCTTGTAATAAAAAAGAAAAAGAAGGAGTAGGCCGCGTGGCCTTGTAGTAATAGAAAAAAAAAGGAATAAATAATTAATAAAATAAAAAGGATGAATGATTTGAGATGCTACAGCGGACGACGACGACGACGAAAAAAAGCAAATGAACAGTAACACCCTTTGGCTGTTAGAGTGTTATGTTAATAATAATAATAATAGATGATCCATGAGACCAAATGTGTCTCACCATTTGATTCATTTATCTGTGATACTTATCAGTTATGGCCATTACTATTTATGTATTTAACTGTGATGACAAATATAATCTCTGTGACACTTGCATTCCTTTTTTTTTTATCCATTTTTTTCTGCCTCCTCGTGATAGTAGATTATCCATCATTTTTCAGTATTTGACATATGTGAAACACAGTACATCCCATTTGAGTTCGTGCAATATAATACCAGTATGACTAAAGGAAATCGAACGAAAATCGTAATGGCGAGGGAAGAAGAGTTAAAGGACGGCATGTTTTCACATTTTTCTCCCATAATATGGAGTTGTTCAATAAGAAATTTTCTTTTTTTCTGTTTCTGCCAAGTAATGGACGGTAAGAATTTCTTGAACGAGGGAGTAGAAATTCTACATTTTTTTTGTTGGTTATTCAGTATTTCTCCCCTGAGCCAACAAACCTAGAGCCTAGAGGGCGGTAATGGAAAGTTAAGACTGCTAAGTTGAATATTCGTTCAATTCTAGAGATAGCAACGGGGCAGTTTTGGGGATCCTCCAAAAAACCTAGAAGGCTGAGCAAGTGATCGTCGCGTTGCCTAAGGCCTCTGCCACGCTCCCGTTTCCCACTCACCCAATGAACTACGGGCCCCCACGTGTGGCTAAACTCTGCGGGCTCCATTCCCTCCATCCACGTCGACACCCTCGCCCCCACTTCTTTGTACGGCGTTGCGACGCCGTTACTCCTCCTGCACGCTACGCCCTCTGCTTTAACGTTTCCCGCTGACTTGGCATTTCCCTGATTTACGTTACCGTTACTTTTGCCATGTAACAACAAAAACACACACGTTTCGGGCGTCCGTAGTGTGCATGCCCGTTGCCCCGGTCGGGCCCAGCAACACTTTTCCTTTCCTTTACTCGCCCCACTTCCCCCGCGGTGTCCGCAAGTGATAATTTGGTTTTTTTTTTTTTTTGTCTAGAAGCTTCTATTCAATAGATCAAAGTTAAATTTAAAAAATAAAATAAAATACGGAACTGAAAAAAGTGAAACAAGAAAAATGTTGAATAAAACATCAAAAAAATTAAGAAAGTCAATTGGATTGTATAGATAACATCTGAGAATACTCATAAAACGCATAACATGCTTGTGCCAAATATCAACTAGAAATTAAATATAAATGAAATAACTGTTATGTTTAGTTGTCAAATATTCTAAATTTATTATTATTAGATTATATAATATAATATATTTATTTATATTAATAAATTGAAAGAAGGGATGAGGCGAGGGATGGGACCCCAAATTTAAAAAGAGGGGAAGAAAATTCCCCTGTCCTTGCCCCCGTCCAGCCCCATTACTCCCTCACGGGGCACCCGCTCCGTTGTCATCCTCGTTCAATTCTTGTTATTGTTAAGAAGAAGCAGGAGTACTCACATTAGGTAAGACTTTGCCATAGTATAAACACTACAAGGAGTAAGACGACTTTATTTTAGGCATGCGTTGACTTGAAAATCCACTTTCATAAACTTTTCCGAGCATTAAATGTCATAAAAGATAGATTGGTTGGAAGCAGAAAAACCTCGTGGAGATTGAAAAGAAAATTTCTGCAATCCTTAAAATTTTGAGGTAAGCAAACACTTAGAGCAGCAATTGAGTGCCTTATGCATTCAATTCAAAATATTTTCTGCGCCTCGAGCTCAAGTTATTTACACGAGTCCCATCCGTTTTTAACATAATTAAAATGTATCAAATTAATAGGGAAATGGTAAATGAATGTGTGCCTAATAATTTCCATGATAAAGCCTCACTAGCCCCTCTACTTAGATATGCTGATCACATTTGAAGCACGTAACTATTTAATATCAACATCTTATTTTAGTCATGAATTGACTAGAAAATGAATTCCCATAAACTTTTCCGAGCATTATTAGCCATAAAAAGATGATTGGTTCAAAACAAAAAGGGCAACTCGAGGATCAAAGTGAGAACTTTTGCAATCGTTAACATTTTCAGGTAAGCAACTGCGTGAAGGAACAATTGAATGACTTGGTGCATAAACAATTCGAATTATTTTCTGTTCCACCAGTCCAATCCATTTTTTGTGGACATAATTAAAATGCACCAAATTAATAGCGCAATAGGAAAAAAATAATGGCTAAGCATAATATTTTTCATGATGAAACGTTAGTACTCCCTGCAGCCATGTTTATCACATTCAAAGTCTTTTAGTATTAACTACTGAGGAGTTTACAGTAGAAAACTACATGGGAACTTCCGTGGGAGAACAAAACAGGAAGCTGTGAGAGCAAAAAACAGAAGTCAAGAAATCCGATCAGTTAGGAGTGTGTAATGAAACGGAACATGATTTCTGTCACCGGAAAATTCATCACCTAAACATCAAAGGTGACGGCAATGGAAAATTGTACACCATTACTTCACTTGTAACTAATCTTGAATGAATTAGTGCAATAATTTTTGAACCCACAAAAAAAAAAACATAAAAAAAGGACACAGAGGAAAACAATAATTTCTTCCCTAGCTACAACACCTTTTTCCTCTGATTCCCTACCCGATCAATATAGGAAAGAAGTTGAATATGGTAGATAAGAAGAAGGAGAGTATGATGGATTGCCCCTGCAAATCCTATAAATTGCACGCCCAAGGACCTCCACCATTTCTGCAGCAAACCTCATGGTCAATGGCCTCAAAGACGTTGCCCACAATCCCACCACCGCCATCACTATTTCTGCGCCCAAGCTCATCATGCATTCTCATCGCTCATCCCAGGCCCCTTTGATTCCATCTGCAACACCAAGTCGCATTTTCAGCCAAACGCTCTTCCCAGACCATCAGAAAGGGTTGGAAAAAAGAAAACGTTCTAATGCGTAGTTGGTTGATTGTTAGGAGGTGCGATTTGCAAAGTAGTTGTCTCCGGGAGGATACGTGTCAGTTTACAAAAGTTACAAAATTCAAATGAAAATATGCGTGTTATACGCTTAAACCTGTCAGTGTCATAAAGGAAAAAAAAACGCCAACAAAGTAAGAAGTACTATTTTTTTTTTTTATCTGCAAAAGATAGGTGTTCTATAACCTAAACTAGTCTAATGTAAGCGAAAAAGGGCAAGGGGAGATGATCAACTAAGACAAGCCACATATTATGACAAATTTGAGAGAGGCAAGGGTTGAACTCTGACCTCCAACATCACTAAAGAGGGTGATGACCACGGGACCAAATGGCCAGTGACCAACAAAGTAAGAAGTACTAACTACTTCTTTCTTTTGTGCCTCTGTCCTTGCACAATTAATTATATGCTAGATATTTTAAATGTCGATATGTGATTGAAAATCCGTTTGAAGAAGTGGACGATGAGTAGGCCACCTGTGGCTAAGGAACAAGGACCGTTCCATAGGCTACATGAAGAATTAGCAAGGGTGGGCCATTTCAACAACGGCTATTCATGACGAAATTTTGATGCACAATTGTCGTCATCACATTTACTTCTTTTACTACTACTGATG